GGTTTGAGTATGGAAACCATCATCAAATTCACTTATGTCGTATATGTTTTATTTTATAACGTATATATTTGTTTATGTAATAACTTATTTTTCAAAAGTTTTGTATATTGACATTGTAAACTGAACTTGAAATCAATGGAATGGCTTTTTTAGGCGGAAAAATGAACAAATTTAATATCAAGACTAAGAACCAAATTAAGAAAATATAGCAGAACTTGATTTTGAGGAAATTAAGAAAAAGGTATTGAAAATTTAAACTCGAGACAAATAGAACATTTGGAATCCGCAATCACAGTTCCAAATACGAAGTTTCCAAAGACCGTCTGGTGTTTAACTTGTAAATATGTAATCTTATCTAAACTACAAAACTTGTTTTAAAATTTTAAAACTAAGGGAAAACGATGTTTAACGAAATAGCACCAAACTATATACTGTAATAAACAATCAAATATTAAAGAATTGAAATGCTTGCGTTGGCGTTGCATTTGTCATGCATTTCGACCAATGGAAGGTTTAGTGACGTTGACCTAGTAGGACCTTAAGCAGGTCATACTGCAATGGAAGATTTGTTATTGTAGGGATATCAATCCAAGTCCCACATCCAAAGTTTAGACATGAATTGTCTAGTATATAAGTAATGTCCAACTCCAATTAGTATGAATTCTTTAACAAATCCAATAACAAATCTATGCGTGCTTTTGCCTTTGGACCCAAAGCGGACAATATCATACTAATAAAGGAGTTGAACATGGGCTTGAAAAACCACAATAAATGGTATCAGAGCAAAGGTTCAGAGAAGTGGATATGGAGAAGTGGGTTGGACATGTTCGGTTCAGAGAAATGGGTTGTGGACATGTTCGTTGTGGGAGGTAAGCCCTCAAAAGATGACCTCGCGAATAAGGGTGCCAAGAGTACAAGCGGTACAAGAAGGGTATCAGGTTTCACTGGAAGTAGAAGACCACGAGTTTATGTGGTACTTAGTTTGAGGGAGAGATTGTTGGGATATCAATCCAAGTCCCACATCCAAAATTTAGACATGAATTGTCTAGTATATAAATAATGTCCAACTCCAATTAGTATGAGGTCTTTTGGGAAGGAACCCAAGAACAAATCCGTGCAGGCTTTGCCTCTGAACTCAAAGCAGACAATATCGGGAGTTGGACATGGATTGAAAAACCACAATAGTTATATGAAGCAGTTAATGCATGTGTACAACAAATCCAACCAAGCTCGTCCAAACAAAATTTAATTTCAATATCTTCTAACTAATTTGTTATCAGTAAAAAAACAATGTAGTATTCAAAATGCATACTATTAAATAGCAGAAATACTGTTCTCTTTTTTGAGGAAAATGTATTAGTAATTAACTGCACCACAACTAACAAAGCCAGCAACCAGATGCCAAAATTAATTAGAAAGATTTTCAATTCTGAGAAACAAGATATATAGTACAACACTACATTATATAGTTTTTCAATGATTTTTAAAAAATCAAATGACAAGAATATTAATGACAAAGGGTAATAAAGTAAAACTGTAAAATAAAGAATTAAAGAAAGATAGAGCCCACTACTTTAATCTTCCCTCCTTGTTACCCCATCTTGGATCCATCTTCGATTTCAACACCTACAAAAACAAAATAAAGCTTCTTATAAACTAAAGAACCAAAAAGAAACAAAAGCTTAAAAGAAACTCTCACATTCGATTCTCTCAAGAACTTCTTCTGCTTCTTTCAATTCCAATGGCTTTACTAACTATCTTGCCGGAAAACGCAGAGCCTCCAAAACACACTCAACCGCCGACCAAACGCAAGAAACGCAATAACCCTACCGACCAAACGCAACCGCAGAAACCACACAAACCAAAGAAAGCAGTACTTCAAAAGCAACCATCTTCATGGGACCAAATCAAAAACTTATTGACTTGCAAACAAATCGAAGGGTCAAGAGTTCACGATCCATCCAAGAACTCTCAATCTGGTCCGACTCATCAATTGTCTCCTTCCAAGCTTGGCTCGTCGTGTAGCTCAATCTGTAGCTTCAGAGACGTGGCTCATGGTAACACTCGTGTGGTTCATAGAGCAGACCACTCACCAGACGTAGCTAAGCCGGTTAATACTCCTGACTCGGAGACTCGTCTTCTGACTCGGAAACATGGTCAACAAGGTTCTTCTTCGTCGTCTCGGTCACTTATATCTGGCTCGACGAGATCTAACGGTAGTGGAAGTTACACGTCATCTTCAACGACGTCGTTTAGGGCCATGCAGTTCCGTAAACTCTCTGGATGTTACGAGTGTCACATGATCGTTGACCCTAGCAGGTAAATTAATGACTGACTACAAAAATTAGTTAATGATGAGGAAATAAAATTAGCTTGTGGTTATATTTTTGTAATTTCGTTTATTTTGGATTTTAGGTATCCGATTTCTCCTAGGGTTTGTGCTTGTTCCCAGTGTGGAGAAGTTTTTCCCAAGCTTGAAAGCTTAGAGCTTCATCAAGCGGTTCGTCACGCAGGTAAGACTTTTATTTTTGTTAAAATTAATTTTACTTTATCACTTAGCTCAAATTTTTCTAATTACGCATTAGTAAACAATTGTTTTTGGTGTGTGTATAGTGTAGTCACATTTTAAAAGTTAACCCTAGTGCTAAGAAGACCCGTTTTAACAAGTTTCAAAAAACAAAAAAAAACCCGTTTTAATTATCTAGTGGTATTTCATAAATGCAAATTTTGCTTAGTAAAGTAATGATTATGTTTTGTATTCCCTGGAAATTTGTTAAGATCTCAGTCCATAACGTGGCTTGTGAAATACTATGATATAACCTATATACTAGGTCCTATATATACTAGTTTAGTATTTTGATTGAAGAATTATCATTTTCACATGTTTTCGGTCGATACGCATTTGGAATTATCGATAGATTTACCATATATAGTGTTGAGCAATTATTAACGAACATGCTTTCATTTCATAGCTTAGGCTTAAATTTTTAAAAAATGGAATCAAGATCTCAATGTTATTGTCGGTGATACTATAGATCTAATAAAATTAAGATGATTTGACATTATGTTACAGTTTGTTTTTATAATTGAACGTCAGATTCATTGATGATAACGCATTTTTGAGAGAAAAATACAAAAGAGAAGAAGAATATAAATGGAGAACAGTATATTCTATAGTGTCCATATCTGTCATTTGTCCTATAAGAAAAAGAAAATCAAAATAGCTGTCAAACATATAACTAAATTCAAGGTCCCCTGATATTATTACGTGTCATTTTCTCATTCGTCAGGACAAGAATTACAACCTCACCACCTGACCAAACCGAATTAAAACTCATAGATTGTTTGTTTTCTTCCTCCTTGACTTTTAATTGCAGTTTCGGAGTTAGGTCCGGAAGATTCAGGTCGAAACATAGTGGAGATCATATTCAAATCAAGCTGGCTTAAAAAAGACAGTCCAATCTGTAAGATCGAACGTATATTAAAAGTACACAACACTCAACGTACGATCCAACGGTTCGAAGATTGCCGAGACGCAGTGAAGGCGCGTGCACTTCAAACCGCTAGAAAAGACGCTCGTTGTGCAGCCGATGGTAACGAGCTTCTACGTTTTCACTGCACCACACTCACTTGCTCACTAGGATCTCGTGGCTCGTCTTCTCTCTGCTCTAGCCTCCCTGGTTGTGGTGTTTGCACCGTGATCCGCCACGGTTTCCAAGGAAAATCTTGCGGCGGAGCCACGGCGAGTGCGGTCTCCGGCGTGAGAACGACGGCGAGTAGTGGAAGAGCTGATGATTTGCTTAGATGTAATAATGATGCGAGGAGAGTGATGCTTGTTTGCCGTGTGATCGCCGGGAGAGTTAAACGTGTTGATTTACCGCCGGTGGATTCTACGGTGACGGAGCAAAAGTGTCCGGTGGAGGAGAGTTTGTCGAGTGGTGGTGCTTTTGACTCGGTTGCGGTCAACGCCGGAGTTTATTCGAATCTTGAGGAGCTAGTGGTTTATAACGCAAGAGCTATATTACCTTGCTTCGTGGTTATTTACAAAGTTTTAGAATCTTGAGTTTGTAATTTATTTTAACTTCCGGAATAATGTTTGTTTTAGAACGTCTAACTTTTTAATATGATAGGGGGAGATTAGGTTAATCATCATCATTATAAGATTTTAACATGCTTTATAAATCCCATCTTAATATTGACTAAGTGTAATTGTTAGGAGTCCAAACTATATGCTCATGCTTATGAAATTGTATTAGTGAAATCATGATTAGGTTAAGAGTTTATTACTAGGGTGGGCCAAAAAAAATCATGAAGAAGTTAACGTGTGACTTTTGACCGGTAAATGTAAATGTTTGTTTTTCACTACAGTAACTTTCAAAGCTGTGTTCACACTTGATGGGAATCAAATAGTGTGGGAGTGGCAGAGAGTGATATAATTGCTAACCACATGCGTTTTCAGTAAAAATTGTTTGATTCTTTCGAGTTCTTTTTGGTGTTTTGTTTTATAGGTAAAGCTGATTTGTTTTTGATAACCAAGCAAAGCTGTTTTTTGATTATATAAAAAATATAATAATTATTTGGGTATTGTATGGTTTTAATTTAGGTGTATTTTATTAAGATAAGTTCAAAATCAACCCATAAATATAAAAAGGGTTGCACGCTGAAGAGGGAGAGCCATTGGAACTTTCCTCGTTGTCAGAAGTTGCGACATTGTTTATTTTATATAAACTCCATTTCTCCTTGAAGTTGCAAATGAGAAAAACCAAAGATTTTAGAATCAAACCAGTTAG